TTGCTTGTGGACCATGGAAAACCTTAGTTTTAAGTTTCCCTCAGTGAGGGTCTCTCCTGTAATTCAGCTAGTCACTTGCAGGGACTCTAAAAGTTCTCCCTATGGAGCTTTCCCAGAGATAATGGCTTCCTTGTGGTATGGGATTTTATGATACAGCAATTTTGAATCTGTCTAACACAGACCTCATCTCCTAGCTCTAAACTATCACTTGAGATAGATGTAGAAAAGAGACAGCTCCTTTGAGAACTATATGTACCACAGCAGACATTGCTGCAAAGCCCTCTTCAAGTCTTGGCCCTGCTGGGAAGCAAAGGCCTGTCTGTCTTAGACATTCTCAGGTCCTGTGACGTGAGTCTGAGAGAGAGCGAATGTTAGGTCGAACCTAAGGACAGCACCTACAGGAAATGCAAATGGTTACTTCAGAGGGTTGGAGTAAGAAAAATAGTCAAATTCATGGATATATCCTTGAATTATTTCAGTCTTTTACCATAAACTTGTCATTTATTATGTGAAGAGATCACTGAAAGAAAAAAAAAAAGACTCCATGAAAGTAAATGTCACATCGAATTGCTTTAGAGGTATACCCTCCAGGAGAACAAGGCAAAACGCCAGAAGGAAATGTGAATAAATAGGCTGTAACTTTAGATAAACTTCTAAAAGATTATAAGGTACATACCAAAACTAAAATTTCAGAATAAACAAAAATTCTCTGTATCTTCACAAATATACTATAAATTTTGCATGTATAAAATTCGAATATTTTTTCAGTTTCATTAAAAACTTGTAACTTTGTAGGATTAGGTAAGTTATATGAATATCATTAAAAATTATCATCAACTACTTTGTTACCCTTGCAATGAAGAGAACAGGAGTAGTTTTCTATTTGCATAGAAATAGAACCCAATCTGGTGAAGGAAGAAGGCAAATAAAACTTGTATCCATTTGGGTATGATACATGAAAGGAAATTTTCAGGATCCTTCTGTATGAACTTGCCTAAAGAAGTTATGTTTTAAACAAGTTGTATGATTTGTAGGATGCTATTAGGTAAAATAGACCATATGAACTCAATGGTTAACTAAAAATATTAACTTTGTACACAGAGAGAGCAGTAATTTGAATAATAAATTAATAGATATCTGATAAACATATTATTAACCTCAAGTCCCAACAAACACTCAGCAAGGAAGATGATGTGAATGAAGCTAGACTACACGCACACAATCAAATTCTCAGGGAAAAAGTACAGCTGATATTCAACTTGAAATTTAAGATTTATCTTGAAAATGTTCAATGCACAATAGTGTTTTCTCACTGAAATAAGATTTACCAGGATCTACAATGACATGTTAATGTTCTTTTAAAGATATTTTCTCCCCTACATTTAAAAAAAATTTTTTTAAGATTTATTTATTTATAAACACATTCCTTTTGCAGCAACATGGATAGAGCTGGAAAAGATCACTTTTAGTGAAATAAGCCAGAAAGAAAAGGAAAAATACCGAATGGTTTCATTCATAGCAGGAGTATAATGGATGAAGTGAGAGAATAATAATAATAATGAGCAGTTAAATACCAGAGACACTTTATGGGGGTGGAGTAGGGAATGATCTCAAAAACAGTGGGGGGAGGGAAATGCACTGGACTTTGGTGATGGCACATGGGTGATCTGGTGATGGGAAGCCCAAAGGGATTACAACTGAGATGGAAAAAAGCACAAAATGATGGCAAATAAACTATTGAAAAGAAAAAAAAAAAGATTTATTTATTTATGCATACAGAACTGGGTACAGGCCAGAGGTGCAGGGGCAGTGAGAGGATTCAGCAGAGACAGAGTGGGGAGCAGATCAGGCAGATCGATGAAGTACACTGCTGAGGAGAGCAGTAGATGGGCCAGGAGAGGTCTGCCGCGCCATATGGGTCACCTCTGGGAGCCGGGGATCGAACTGGCAGTGAGGAGGCTGCCGCCAACTTGCAGTGCTGCATCCCAACCCATTGTGCAACCAGAGAGGGCCCTTCTTCCCTACTTTTATTTTACCAGTAGCTTAGAAACAAGAAACAAAGTGCCTAGACTTCTACAATAGCTCTGCTCACCAGTGGTGTATGTGGCATGAGGAAGTCTCCCATTACAACCAAAGGAGATAGTGAATAGCAAAAAATGTAGCAAACCCCTAGACATGGCAATCACACAGTAAAAGGTGAGGAAAGCAGTCTTGTTATAAAAAAGTTCAAGTGTACCTTCCCTGCCATATGGGTTTATCACTAGCACAGCTTCCCTTTCTATGTGCTGTGTTGGTTTTGGGGTCTTACCACATGGTTTCAAATCACTACTCATGTTCTCTTTCAGATATCCATGCACATGGCTATTGGTTCTCTTTAATATTTTTTTTTTCCTTTTTTTGGTTAGGAGAAAAATTCTAAGTCACGAAGTGACAGTCAACATGGGCAAACAATTTCTATTCTTGGTTATTATTTAGATCATGAGTCTGTCTTTAAGAAAAGGTTTCTGTGAGAGGTCATCTGTGAAGACAGAAACTCCAGCTGTTTCAAGTTCAATCTGTAACATCATAAAGTGGCTTTCCACAGCCCCGGGAGTAACAGTTCAGGCTGTATGTGACCAATGCTCTACCTACTTCCCTGCCCCCATCTCTACCACACTTGTACTTCCCATAGGTCTTTTTTGTCTCTAAAACATGCAAGCTTAGTCTCACTCCTGGGCCCTTGTATTTGCTACTCTCACCATTTAGGTTGCTGCTCACCTTCAGATTTTCACACCTAGCTCCTCACAATTCAGATTTTGGTTCAAATCTTTCAGCAAAGCAACCCCTGCCTGTCCATCTCAAAGCAGCCCATGCCCCATCCTCCTGTCACGCTATCACACTGCCTTGTTTTATTTTCTCTATGGCATTTGACATCATCCAAAATTATCTTCTTTGTTTTTCTATTAGTTCATTATCCATTCCTTCTGCTTTGTAAGAGGGGGAAATGTGGCTGTCCTGCTATGAAGTGAAGAACAGTGAGGCTCCATTGAGATTTATGAATGAATGAAAGAACAAAATCAACAGGATTTTCTTCACTTGGAGATCACAGAATTTTTATTTTAGCATGTATGTAATAAATTCTTTTTTCCCTGAAAAGAATCTTACCTATGTGATCATCTCTGTTTATTAACTTTGGTACCAAAACAACCTCTTCCATTTATTGTTTCACAGGATTGTTAACCACAGGTAAGTTGTTTCTATTGTATAATTAAGGGTTGCTTCAGTTTGTTCTGAATTTTTCATTGTTTTACTGACTAGAATTGTGCATTGTTAATGATCAACTTATTTAAATATTTTTCACATATTTCAGCTAAAATTCCATTTCATCAGAGTCCAATGCTGACATGACCTTACACTAAAGTGTGCCATGCTTTCTATCTCCCCACACTTTACTTACTTTTTCTATAAGTGTGTAACTTAACATGCCAGCCACCACCTGACATGCTTGCTGCTTAAGGATTAGTTATTATTTTCTTCCTTCTTCATAGTTACAGGAATTTAAGATTTGTAAGTGAAAAGACTTATACTTGGCTTTAAATTCATTAATATACTACTAGAATCTACAAAATTAAGGAAAGAACTAAATTAAGGAAAGAACTAATAACAAAGCATGGAATGAATGATATATACACACACATGTAATATATAATCTTGGCAAAGCTTGTGTCCTTTTGTTTCAAGTAAATTGTTTTTCTCATAATTTATCAAATTTGTGGAAATTTACTATGTTAACATAAAAGTTTACATATAATTAAACTATTGACGTAGTAATTTACAACCAAGTAGTTAATGAGCTGTATGGCTAACTTTAAAATCAAATTGCTGTGTTCATTTAAGATGTATATAATGTTAGCTTGGGACATAAAGGATAAACTGCAGATACAAGCTTAACTTGACTTTTATGCAGTTACTTCAGGAACTGAAGGCACTGGAGAACACTGAATTATAATTCATACCTGATGTCTCCCAGCTTTTAAAAAATTCAATAGTTATTATGATATCTTGATAACAGAATTTCTGAGATAATTTAACCCATGAATCATCGACACATCAAAAAGCCATTTTGTTTACAAAAGATATTCTTTTTGTATCTGATAATCAAGGGCTGAAGGCATGGGGATGCTACACCATTTACTGTTTTTTGTTTGTTTGTTTGTTTTGTATGTGAACCCAGCTAGGGACAGATGTCTAAATAATTTTTTAGGCTTTCATAAGAAGCTATCAAAATAGTTCTGAAAAGCAGTAGTCAGTGTAAGACTATAACTAATGATTGATCTGCAGTCAGGTCAAAGCAAAATTCACAAATACACAAAGGTTCTTGTTGAAATGAAATAATAATTATTCTAACACATTCACCAGAGAAGCACACTGATTCTAGGAATAATTTTTTTACCTTAAAAGTGTTTTAAAAACTAGTTTTAGGCCAAGAAAAGAAAGATTATTAATGTACCAATACACTCTGTGTACTGGACTTGATTCATGAAATGCCTCTTTGCTTCTAAATAATCCATATTCACCATCTCCTCCCCTCCATGTTCAATGAAAAATTAACTTTTATAACTTGACTTTTCATTAAGTGGAAGTCTAAGCATTAATGTAATCTTTTTTAAGAGAAAAAAGGGAAAATCTATACTGAGGAATTTATTACTATTTCTTTTTAATAGGTCTCACAGCTGAGAAGTTATAAATTGATTAAAATATTTATTTAAGTCATCGTAAAATTTATAAAAAGGGCAGAATTAATTTATTCTGACTTTCAAAATCTTATGCTGGGAAATGTTTAAGCTATGTAGAATAGAAATAAAACAAAAGACATAATTTGAAAGTTATCTTTGACAGAGGAGTAACTGAGATAAATCCAATGACACCTGTCAACCTAAGGTGATAATAAAGATAATCCAAACATCTTGTTTACTTTGAAAACAAGTTTCTTAATTTAAGGTGATTATTTCATTACTTACCTCTGCATACTTCAACTTCAGTGTCTTATGCATTTCTCGAAAACGACTGTAACGCCTGAATACTGTCCATGTCTCGTCTAAGACAGTGATCTATTAACCAGGAAAATAAAAATAAGTTAGCATTAACTAGAAAAAATAATTTAAAAATTAAATAAAAAGTAATAAACACATAACATTTCTCTAGGGTAGAAAATATTAACCTAGTTGCCTAAAATAAGACTTAAGTATAGTAATTATGCTGTAAGTACATTTCTGGCTCTCAAATCTGATTATAAGCAGCAGGTGTCCATATGAAATGAGGAGCAGATAGTCACTGCTACATGTATTGTACAAAGTGTCCCTTAATCCTCCCTTAGGGCCACAGGAAGGCAATCCACAGCATGACCTTCCTGTCACGGCAATGTATCCACACATGTCAGGACTGGTTATCAGATGCCATCACAATACACAGGAAAGGGGGAGAAAAGAGGAAAAATCACACTTTCTGCATCTCAATAACTAATAGCATGAAAACACACAATTTATTTTGCTTTTTTTTTTTCCCAAAGGGAAATTTCTCAATGTAGCCTTTGCCAGCCATTCAACTTTTGTTTCGAGTATATGAGCTTATTGAGGGGGAAATCCAAGCTCAAGAGTTCATGTACCAAGACGGCAGGAGCGACCATAAGGACGCACTCTCACACCTAATGCACAGGCTGATGACTCTCCAATTCCTATCTTAGCCTCCACTTCTCCACTGAGTACAGACCCATTTATACAACTTCGAGACAGCTTTCTTCAGCTGTCACAAGGCACCTCAAATGCATTGTCTAAATCTGAACTGAACATCATCTTCCCAGGTTAAATATCAGTAGTACTCCTGTGGAGTTCTTCATGTCAATGTATTTCATTACCATCTACCAAGCCATGCCATTCACTGAAGTTACTAATTTGGCCATTAACTGAACAAACACTCTGTGAGTCTTTCATCTCCTAAATACCCCTCAAGCTCTCCCCCATCCTGTGTCACTCCCACCATCTTGTCACTCGAGGCCATTAAGACTCCTGTTGGTCTCTCTAAGTTGTCCACACCCACACCTGCCTGTACATTCTCTTCTCTGCACAGGGGAGGTTCTAAAACAGAAATCTAATCATCCCTCCTTAAGACCCACTTAAGGAGTGTCTTAGAAAAAAATCCATATTCTTAACCTGGCACCCACAACAATGTCACACCAATCCTTTTGGGTGCCTTTCCCTTATGTCACACCTCCTGAATGTGCTTATTCCAAGTGGAGCAGCTCCCCTGCTGTATGGGAAAATTTTACCCTATACATGTCAATTGAAATTACCTCCATTCAGACAGAGTCAGATCCTCCCCAATGTAAACCACCGAAGTTAAGTAGCAAATTGGAAGCAAGATTTGGGAGAAAACTCATGTGGTTAGCTCTGGGAGGAGGGGAAAATTCTGAGTCTTGTTGACTCTCTCATACAGTCATTTCCCAAAGTAGCAAAAAAGATGATATTGGGGTTTGCAAGGATATATATATATATGTATTATCATCCTTTCCTCTGTGTTCATTATTTATAACAAAGTTTTCAATTGTGGCAGGTTTCCTATGTGCTTATTTTAAAATATATTTCATTAAGAAGCCAAAGGAATTATATTTTCAGAAAATCTTCAATAAAAGTAGCACAGGTGCTCTGTAGCTCTAAGTTGTTTTTTTTTTTTTTAAGGATTTATTTTTATGTATACAGAAATGGAGTACAAGCCAGAGGTGTAAGATGGTAAGAGTCTTCACCAGACACAGAGTGGGGAGAACAGGCAGGTCAATGAACTACACTGCTGAGGGAGCAGCAGGCGGGTCAGGAGAGGCCTCAGGCGGAGGTGACATGCCATATGGGTCACCTCTGGGACCAGGGATCGAACTCGCACTGAAACAGCTGTGGCCAGCTTGCAATGTTGTGTCCTTACACTTTATGCCACCAGGGAGGGCCCTGTAGCTCTAAGTTTTAAAAGCTAGAATGCAAGTAACTTGAGCTTAAGGCAACTAGGCTGGGAGAGAGGGTATATTTTCAGATTCTGCTGGAACACTATCAGCAAGGGCAGCATAATCAGCAGAGGAGTGACAGTATGGCAGTATGCTGCCTCGGCTGGACACAAACCAGGTGTGAGAGAGAATGGTAACAGGAGTGGGTGTGACACTGCTTAGTTACCAGGAAAACTCAGGAGAGTTAATGGAATCATGTCCATGACCTGGGAGTAGTAAGCAGGGTATTCATAAATAAAATCATGCTGTGTTGTAAATTTGTACTACATAGACTCTCACTGAAGAAGCCTAGGTCACCAACATCCTCTAGAATAATGCTCCCTGGTTCTTCTTTTTCCTCAAATCCTTCCACTCTTTATCTCAATGTCCATCATGAGGAAAATCCTCTAGATCTTCAAATTCTAAAGAATACCTCCTTCATCTTCACTCTAGCTGAGAATTTACTCTCTTAAGTAACCCCTGTAGGATCTATTTTCTCCCAATATTCTTCATCCTCTTGGGCCAGACAGTGGGTATATGTTCTTGTTCTTTAGCCATTTCCCAACCATTGATCTATCCTTTCTAAAATTTCTCGTTTGTGTAGCTCACTTCTTTGGATTTTACCACTCTACCCATCTTCCTTTCAGGTGTCAGTTCACCTTGGTCAAGACCCCAATTCCTTACAGGTCTTATGTTTTGCTCACTCTCATCTGCTTCAACATTATGGAACTCTGGTCAGTTATAATTTCTGCTCATTTCATTAAACACATGATCCTTCCAACACCCTGACCTCTTATTCCTTGACCAATTATTCCCTGATTCTTTCCTCATTCAACATGAAAACCACGGGCAACCTATAACAATTTTCTTGCAATCTTCCTCATTGGAATCTTTAACCAACCCTTGAAATTTCCTGGAATAAACTTGTACCTGTCTAGCAGAATGTGGGTAAAGAAAAACAGACCATCAGATGGATTTGTCCCATTTTAATATCATAATCACGACATTCTGTTAGTCTTAATTCTCCCACTAGGCATACCACATACACAAACTCCATTTACTCTTCCATTAGATAGTAGCTAACTTAGGTAATGGCTATCAAAATAATAAATCAAAAATAGATGACTGGATCAAGAAGATGTGGTACATATACAAAATGGAATGTTACTCAGCAAGCAAAAAGATAAACTCATGCCATTTAGGGCAATATGGATGTAGCTGGAAGGGATCATGCTTAATGAAATATGCCAGAAGAAAAGGGAAAAAATGATGGTTTTCCTCATAGCAGGAGTGTAAGTGATCAGGAAATATATATATATATATATAGTATTGTAATAAAATAGAAACAAACATCAACTAACAACTGTAAACCAGAGACATACTACAAGGGAGGAGAGGGGAACAAAATGAAACCTGGGGTGGGAAAAGCATACGCGACTATGGTAATGACACCTGGGTGAAGTGGTGGTGGTAAGTCCATGGAGATTACAACTGTGATGAAAAAATGTACAAAATTAAGAAAGATGTATATATATATAAAGAAAAAAGTTCTCTAAATAATCTTAGATAATAGCTATCGAAATACTCCATCTTTCTCTTCAAATCTTCATTATCATTACCTCATTCCTGTGCTCATGGTTAGCTGATAACCATGACTCCTCTTTCACTTAGAAAATGGAAGCAATCAGAAGATTTTCAGAAGCACCCTCAACCAAGTCTACTTATCAGCCACTAACTGCCCTATCCCTCATCTTTTCTCCAATTACTGGGCATGATGTATATATAGATGTGCAGTAATGCCAGTGCTCCTATTTCTTAAACACTGGACTCCACCCCCTTTGCCTTCTGAAGGACACTACGATAAGCAATTTTCTCTTCTCCTTCCCGCGGTAACACAAACCCACTTTATACAAGCTTTTCTGATCCCATCACCACCTAAACAAGCTATTATTTTTCTCATCTTAAACTCCCATCTTGACCTCCCTTTCCTTTCCAGCTAGCACTCTCCATTTGTCTTTCCCATTACAACAAAACTCCTTGAAAGAGTTTATTTTTGTCAACTTCTTTTTCTCCCATTATACCTGAAATCCACTCCAATCAAAGTAGTGTCTGACAATGTTGTCTATTCTTTACAAGGTCATCAACAGCCTCCATATTGCAAAATCCCCTGATTAATTTTTGTCCTCATTTACTTAATTACTTGATCTACAGCTAAGAGCTCCTCAGAATAATACCTTCCTCATGTGGTAGCCAGGTAGCTACACTCTCTTCTTTGCTGGCATTTCTTCTTCTCTCTGACCTTTAGATATCCAAATGCTCCAGGACTTATTAGTCCTTGAACATATTTTATTTTTTACTTCCATTGACTCCTTTAGTGATCTCATCTCATCCCACAGGTTAAATTTATATGCTGATGATTCCCTGGATGCTCATACCTTTTCCAGAACCCTGATGCATATATCCTATTGTCTACCTGATATGTCTGCCTGCTTGGATGTCTAATATGGATCTCAAATTTAACATTAAATTCACCAAAATTAATCCTACCCAAACCCATCCTCCTTCCTGCTTCCCTCATTTCAGTAAATAACAATTACATTCTTTCACATGTTCAATCCAAAAAGCAGGCATGGCATTGAAGGTTCAATTGATGCACCTTTCTCTCAAACTTCCAATCCAATCAGCCTACAAATATTTTATGACAGAATTTAAGATATAGAGAGAATCTGACTATCAGCACCATCTTAACTATTAAATTATTGGTCAACATCACTATCTTCTCTTATCTGGATATGTTTTTTAAAACACATCTATTTATTCATATAGAACCGCAGTACAAGCCAGAGGTGCAGGGGCGGTGAGAGGCTTCACCAGAGACAGAATGGGAAGCAGAACAGGCAGATCAATGAAGTACAATCTGAGGGAAGCAGCGGGAGGGTCAGCAGAGGTCTGCCACTCCATATGGATCACCTCCAGATAGAACTCGCACTGAAGTGTCTGTGGCCAGCTACAATGCTGTGTCCTAACCCATTGTGTCACCAGGGAGGGCCTTACACAGATTTTTTTTTTTTTTAAAGATTTATT